AAACAAGGGGAGGGGGAGGAGAGAGGGAAAGAAGGGGAGGGGGAGGAGAGAGGGAATGAAGGGGAGGGGGAGGAGAGATGAGAGAGGGAAAGAAGAGGAGGGGGGAGGGAGGGGCGAGAGACAACAAAGGAGCACCATTCTTAAATCACAAGAAGGTCAACTTGGCTGGTGTGCACTTCAGAACCAAAGAGAAAGACCAATCACCTTTAGCCATCTGTCTGCTTTACTGTGGACATAGCTCATAGGACTGAGGTTGTAAAGGGGGAGAGTGTGTGTGTGTATGTGTGTGTGTGTGTGTGTGTGTGTGTGTGTGTGTGTGTGTGTGTGTGTGTGTGTGTGTGTGTGTGTGTGTGTGTGTGTGTGTGTGTGTGTGTGTGTGTGTGTGTGTGTCAAGGGTGAAAGTAAGGCGGTCCGGTACGACGTCCTGGCAAAATAAATAGTGTGGGTACACCGTACCAGTAAAACATGAGCCTGTCACAATAATTAAAACAAAATTATCTAGAAAACTGTAGGATATTACACCAAATGTCATTACACCACTGTTTGGAGGCTGGAAATATGTTGCGAGTGGATGAACATGTGTGGATAGCCTAGTAAAGGAGTGATCGTTTGACAATCAGATAAAAACATGACTGATGATGACTGATGTTTCGCCACAATAAAAGGTTATACATTTTAAAAGTGAAATGACAAATCTTTATGACTAGGCCCACAGAGATCCTGTTGAATTAATAGGGATTCTATATGTAATTCTATGATTCAAATGTCCCGTACTGGGAATGTTTTGGTGAAGCGTGTGCACACATAGGAGGTCCCGTACCGGGAAGAAATTACATCTACTTTCACCCCTGGTGTGTGTGTGTGATTGTGAGTGTGAGAGTGAGAGTGAGAGTGAGAGTAGGAGTGAGAGTTAGAGTGAGAGTAGGTGTGAGTGTGAGTGTGTGTGTGTGAGTGTGTGAGTGTGTGAGTGTGTGAGAGAGAGAGAGAGAGAGAGAGAGAGAGAGAGAGAGAGAGAGAGAGAGAGAGAGAGAGAGAGAGAGAGAGAGAGATACAGCACACACTGTATAGTAAACCTAATAATAACACTTGAAGTTTACCCTTGGCTTCTTCCCATCTCTTTTCAAAGACACCATTCAACCTCCTTGAGACTTACTGGGACTTGAGTCAGTTGTTAATTAGAAGGACACAGACATCAGAGACAGAGTCAGTGACTTAGTCAGTGTTACTCCAACATGACCTTGTAGCGAAACAGCCTTTTCCCAGCCTTGATGAAACCATTATCTAAGTAAGATATACTCCGACTAATACCAAACATCAATAAGATATTATACTTAATAACACACAGCCTCAACGGGGCCTCTGGCGCTGCATTATACAGCATTATACTCTTCCATTTTCTTCTGGCTGAGATTCCTCTAGTGCATGTTTGAGAGCAATTTAGTGGTTAAACCGATGGATTTGCGCAGGCCAATGAAATGTAAATTACTCACACGTCATGAAGCTCGATGTCGAGGTAAAGCTCAACTATTATTCAAATTTGCATCTTAGGCATTTAGTGTGTGTTACTTTCTAAGAAGACTCAGGGCTGGATTTAATCAGATTTGATGTTTATGCAGCATCTGTTTATAAGATTACTTATAAACAGATGCTGCAAACTGCCCACTTATTTGGGAACTGCCCACTTATTTGGGAAAATGGCTATTATGTGTGCTTGTCGGCCATCTTTATAAGGTCAGGTGACAGGTCAGCTTATGGTTACCTGATAGGTTACCTGACATAGAGGGCATCTTGGGTAGGACTAGTTTCCATTAAATAATTCAGATTATTGTGTAAATACTACAATGTGAATTTGATTGAATTTAGCACTTGTAGTCAGACTGTCTCTAGCACCACTAGTGGCTGTGAAATCGCTGAATACACTTCAGAAAGGAAAGAAACAGCAATTACCTTTAGATGTCTTCAGAGGATTCTTCAAAGTGTGTGTGTGTGTACAGCAGTGGAGGCTGCTAAGGGGAGGACGGCTCATAATAATGGCTGGAATGGAGTTAATAAGACTCCGTTCCAGTCATTATTATGAGCCGTCCTCCCCTCAGCAGCCTCAACTGATGTACAGTGTGTGCGTGTGTGTGTGTGTGTGTGTTGCACATGCATGTGTTTCCGTGCATTTGTGTGTATAGATAGACAATGAACTGTACTCACGATCATTGCACTGAGTGCCGGTGTAGGAGGTCATGGAGCAGTCGCAGGTGTAGTTCTCCCACTGCTGGATACAGATACCCATGTTGGCACATGAGTCCTCTTGGCAGGTGGTGCTAGGACCTACAGGTGGCAGAGCAGAGCCATGTGATACCCGGGCACAGGTGTGAGGACTAGCCAACAGCTCCCCAACAGGTGCCATGCAGAGGTGTCAGTGCACATCAGTGGGCCATGCACTAGTCAGGTTAGTATAGGTTACAGTACATTACATTACTTCCAAAGGCGTTATAGTACCGTTGAAGTACACCAAACTGAAGAAAAACAAAAACACACGGCATTCCTTCCAAGTAGGTTTTAGTAAGACTTTTAGTGCACAGACATTGAACAGAGTACTGGACGTGTTTTCAACATGGCTGGTTGATGAGAGAGAACTGGTGGATTCAGACAAACTGACTAGGGTCCCGTTCTCTCATATTGAGTGGCTCTGTAACAGTGATATTACATGGTAAGTACTAACTGTACACAGGCACTGTCCACAGTGTAGATACATGTTCTTAAATAGTAGTTACAATGACTATAACAATGTTATTTGATTATAGTTATATGTGAGGAATTGTTAGTGTATTTGCCAGTCTTTTTCATTGTGCAAGCCACAACCTTATTCAATATGTAAATACTGTGGAACAAGATGTAGCTATATACTGTAAATCCATTGCACCTGTTCATGTCAGCCCCATGTGAATACACAGTTTTAGAGCCACCAGAAGTTAATATGAAGTGTGACCCGGGTGTAAGCTCTCCCATTCTCCCTCCTCCCTCTCCTTGCTCTAGCCAAAACCAGTCTAATGTACAGAGACACTGGGGAAGAGTTACCACATGGGAACAACATGGACAGGAAAGAAGATCCGAGATAAGAGACAAAACATTTTATAGCAAAGTGGAGCACATAGCTAGGATATGTGTTTTTGTTATATAAATGTTGGTGTGGTGGTGTCAAGTTAAGTCCAGGGCTGTGTTTCATTCCAGAAAGGTGTTCCCTTCCCCTCTGCCCTCGTCCACTCCCCTTCACGGATCCAAGACAACGGGTCAGACCCTATCCAGTTCTGTGAAAGGGAGTGAGTGAGGGAATATCGGAGGATGCATCTAGGTGGAGTGAAACGCAGCCTAAATGAGGACTTGAGGCTCACCACCTTCTACAGACTCATCCCATGTTTTTGCACGTTTATTTAAGAGGGAATGCAGTCTCTACTGTGCAGTAGTGCAAAACCAATTAAGTGGGAATCGGGACAATATTCCCACCGGAAACGGAAAACCATGTGAAAAAAGATAACTGCAAATAAACTGGGTTTAAGTGCAATTTTCTTGTGCAAGACCATAATGAAACAAAAAAGTACTAGAAAGAGATCAAAATCATAGTAGGCTAAAAGTGCATTTATTGTGTAATGCAAAGTGCAGCGGAACTTAGATCTATGCAAGATAAAATGATTCACTTCATATATTTTTTCTACAGGCACCAAATTAGCTACAGACATCGATTTTTTCAGTAACCTGAAATAAATCTATCTATAAAAAATGTGTAATAATACAAGCCGTATGTGATGATTGTAAGCATTATGGCAAGTCAGCTTCCCTGTTTAAATCTATGATCTATTAATCAACCTGAACACATGCTCAGGGGAAACATTATTAATATTGCTCATCTGTAGCAGTAGATACATTTTTTCATCTGGGTGGGAATCATTTCCCCTCCAAAATATGGCCGAAAACACCTTGGAGTGGACTTTTGATATGTATACATTTCTCTAAAACCAGCCTGCATTGATTGCATGTAAAAGCTGCTTTCGCATTCTAATGAAATTAGCTGTCAGACTGTCGGAATCTCAGATTGAATGTAGGCGACCGTCTCTTTAATTAGTGTGCTAATCACACTGGCCTATCAGGGAGCATCCACACTCTGGGCCTAAAAGCATCTGAGGGGGAAGGGGGATTGTGTGTGTGTGTGTGCGTGGGTGTGTGTGTGTGTGTGTGGGTGTGTGTGTGTGTGTGTGTGTGTGTGTGTGTGTGTGTATGCCTGTGTATGTGTATGCCTGTGTGTGTGTGTGTGTTTGTGTATGTGTGTCCGTGTGCCGACCCACGGTGCAAGACTTAATGGATTCTTCTGTGGCGCTGCCCAGACAGGCAGTAACAGCGACGCTCTCCGTCTAACAACATTAGCATAAAACAAGTACACGGCTCGATACAGAAAAACAAGATCTGCAGACATAATTATACAGGCCGGCTAATGTTTTATTTATGCAAAAGCTCTCCATCGCAATCATTAGTCTGTCTCCCTGCCTGCCCTGCGAAGTGAGGGTATGCCATAGCACTAGCAGCCCCTACCTACCATTCTCCAGAAGTGAACCATTTTATTACAAGCACATAGCCAGCCACAGAGAAGCTTTCAATACCTGGCCGTGTTTGCAGTGGATTGTGCTTAAATGTAAACTCTGCAAGGTGACATCATCATACACAACGGAGAGACTTCTTGCTTTACCACCAACGTCATCAGACTTTAAATCAACCAAGACTGCTATTGGCTCTACCTAATTGCGCTCTACCTTGAGGCATGCCAAAATGTGGAATCTTGGCAAATTACAATGTTTTTGTTGTTGATTTCTGTAAACAGGAAGTCACCCCGCTGTATATGATGATGTCATCTTGCTGAGAGTACCTTCAAGCCAAGGCATTATTATTTAGTGAGTGGTGACACATAACATTACACACAGCATCTTTGGGCCAAGCTCAGAATGGAATTTGAACCTTCTACCTTGTAGGTCAGCTTTGGTGAAACCAACTTTGTTAGCGAAAAGAACAGAAAGCGAAAAACGATAAAATAAGGTTAGTAGGTGGCCAATGACTGTCGGTTAATAAAGCAAGCGCTTTACTAACATAGACATGCCCTTTAACCTCTCTAAGGAAGGGGTCAGGGGTCAGGGCTACACTACCATGACAACCAAACTATAAGGATACATTAAATAGATGGGAACAGTACAGAAAAAACATGTAGGTGAAGATGGTTATGGATTGGAGATTTCTGGGCCTATTGAGACACATTGTATATTGTCACTTCAACAAATGAAGGCCTATTCGGAAGGGCACTGCACCATTGGTTTAGCTACATGTTTACCTATTCAGTCATTGCACATAATTCAGACACACTTTGCTAAAATATTAATATTCAAGTGAAAATGACAACAGGAAATAACAAACAGACATCTGCATGGAAACCTGCAAAGGAATACGATGAAGGCAATATTTTTATTTTAAATGAATAAGGTATTTAATCAAACCCAATTAGGATTTTTTAACATTTTGTAGATGTATGTATGGACCGTTGCTGCTCAAGAGTGATGAAAACACAAAGGTTAGTATGAATATGTTTTACCATGAAGGAATGAGGACAAACGACACAAGATGGTTCAGGGATGACATGAGTCACAGAAACAATGAAATACAGTTTAACACTCATTTTGTTTTCCTTCAGAATGAACTTGATTGCATTGTTGCCTACAGTAGTGAATGAGAGCTGCATTGGACATTTACCCACTAATGCTCTTCAACGCCTGTAGTTCTCAGCTTTCAGCTGTCCCCCAATGGTAGAGGCATTAGCACCATCTAGTGAGAGTTTTCTTCAATTACAATAAGCTATGGCTTAAATTCGAAGTTTAGGATTATGATGCTCCCCAAATTGATTTGTAACTTTGTTGACTTATTGACTTTGTTGTAACATAGCCTACTAAAAGTCCATTGTTAATCCCTGATTAAAACTGCATGACAATATTATCATTAAACTGTCACATTGTTTTGTGATTATCAATAGGGGAGCCTAGAGTTTAAATCGGATTCGAACCTATTTTGTTATTTCGTGTGTAATTAAAGTTGCCTATTTATTAATGGTCAATGCTATCCGGGATCCTTGGGATGTCCCTAACCATAACCCTAACCACTAACCTTACCTAACCCTAACCTTAACCCTTACCTTAACCATATAAAATGTAAACTTAAATGGGGTATGGATGTCCCAAGCAACACGGATAGAACGGACCATTTATTCATGTTCTGATGAGAGCTCACAATTGTATGAGTTAGCAAAAGTGCTTCTTTACATGCATGCTTAGACCAAGTCATCACATTGCTTATTTTGCATAGAAACCACTGTTTAGTTTGTAACATTTCTGTCAACTCACCATGCTTCTGGGTCTTCATGTTGGGCCAATCTCATACACTACTTTACCTGGATCTGGTTTCCAATAGTGATGGAATTTAGGCTTAACAGTGTTTTAATTATGCATCTTTTCCCAAGACACCGCGCAGAAAAAAAGTTTGCTAAGCGCCAATTTGTGCTTGATCTGAAAATGTGGTCGGAGGCGCGGAATGGATGTTGTGATGCAATTTCGTGGCCTCCAGAGGCACGCAGAGGCCAAATTGAGCTCCATACCTCATGCTGCGCTCCTCTCAAATTTTGTAACAATGCTTGGTTGACAATAGGTGAGGGCGGGGGATCCTGTATTAACAAACTCACTCCACAACAGCTCTGCACTGCTCCGCGAAACGCAAGAAGTATGAATGCCCTGACTTCTGCTGAGACCATATCACAGTAAATGCTGCACAGCCAATGAAGACATCGGATTGACCATGTACCGTCTTTTAGTGTGTTGTTCGAGCATGGGTAGATACTGATAGGCTTGAAAGAAAGGCAGCGCTGCTCTCTGATAAGCTTTCTCCATTCAAATCTTACATTATAGGCCTAATTATTCCACAATAGGCCTACTGACGACGGATCAGCTCATATAAGGCCTACCACATATATAGTTGAATTCGGAAGTTTACATTCATCTTAGCCAAATACATTTAAACTCAGTTTTTCACAATTCCCGTAATTTAATCCTAGTAAAAATTCCCTGTCTTAGGTCAGTTAGGATCACCACTTCATTTTAAGAATGTGAAATGTCAGAATAATAGTAGAGAGAATGATTTATTTCAGCTTTTATTTCTTTCATCACATTCCCAGTGGGTCAGAAGTTGACACACACTCAATTAGTATTTGGTAGCATTGCCTTTCAATTCTTTAACTTGGGTCAAACGTTTCGGGTAGGCTTCCACAAGCTTCCCACAATAAGTTGGGTGAATTTTGGCCCATTCCTCCTGACAGAGCTGGTGTAACTGAGTCAGGTTTGTAGGCCTCCTTGCTCACACACACTTTTTCAGATCTGCCCACACATTTTCTATAGGATTGAGGTCAGGGCTTTGTGATGGCCACTCCAATACCTTGACTTTGTTGTTCTTAAGCCATTTTGCCACAACTTTGGAAGTATTCTTGGGGTCATTGTCCATTTGGAAGACCCATTTGCGACTAAGCTTTAACTTCCTGACTGATGTCTTGAGATGTTGCTTCAATATATTCACATAATATTCCTTCCTCATGACGCCATCTATTTTGTGAAGTGCACCAGTCCCTCCTGCAGCAAAGCACCCCCACAGCATGATGCTGCCACCCCCGTGCTTCACGGTTGGGATGGTGTTCTTCGGCTTGCAAGCAACCCCCTTTTTCCTCCAAACATAACGATGGTCATTATGGCCAAACAGTTCTATTTTTGTTTCATCAGACTAGAGGAAATTTCTCCAAAAAGTACAATCTTTGTCCCCATGTGCAGTTGCAAACCGTAGTCTGGCTTTTTTATGGCGGTTTTGGAGCAGTGGCTTCTTCCTTGCTGAGCGGCCTTTCAGGTTATGTCGATATAGGACTTGTTTTACTGTGGATATAGATACTTTTGTACCTGTTTCCTCCAGCATCTTCACAAGGTCCTTTGCTGTTGATCTGGGATTTATTTGCACTTTTCGCACCAAAGTATGTTCATCTCTAGGAGAAAGAACACGTCTCCTTCCTGAGCAGTATGACGGCTGCGTGGTCCCTTGGTGTTTATACTTGCGTACTATTGTTTGTACAGATGAACATGGTACCTTCAGGCGTTTGGAAATTGCTCCCAAGGATGAACCAGACTTGTGGAGGTCTACCATTTGTTTTCTGAGGTCTTGGCTGATTTCTTTTGATTTTCCTATGATGTCAAGCAAAGAGGCACTGAGTTTGAAGGTAGGCCTTGAAATACATCCACATGTACACCTCCAATTGACTCAAATTATGTCAATAAGCAGCTTCTAAAGCCATGACATCGTTTTATGGAATTTTCCAAGCTGTTTAAAGGCACAGTCAATTTAGTGTATGTAAACTTCTGACCCACTGGAATTCTGATAGTGAATTAATTATAAGTGAAATAATCTGTCTGTAAACAATTGTTGGAAACATTTCTTGAGTCATGCACAAAGTAGATGTCCTAACCGACTTGCCAAAACTATAGTTTGTTAAAAAGAAATGTGTGGAGTGGTTGAAAAACAAGTTTTAATGACTCCAACCTAAGTGTATGTAAACTTCCGACTTCAACTGTAGTTGCAAATATTGAGGCAGCTTATTATAATGCCTAGGCCTACCCTATAATAATGTACTGAAATAACGGATTGGGCATATAATTGTGAAAAAATGTGACAGTGTAGCATAGAATTTGCCAAATAGAACTCAATTGACTGAACATGAAATTGATTTCAATATGATTGAACTATATAGGACTATGTAGCCTAACCTATAGGCCTACCATAATTGTTTTATGCAGCGATCTCGGTTTTCATTTAAGCATATTTTTATTCTTCGCTTGTTTGTAACAATAGCAAAGACATTGGCAACCTTGTGTCAACTTCATTCCGAAGTTATCAGCAGTCACAGAGAGACAGATAAACAGCTTGATTGTATGTTTAGCAGGGAGATCTTCTGTGTATAAAGTGATGCAAAAGGGCATCGCATACACCTCGATCACACCTACAGCACCATTGCACAAAATGGTACGCAGCATCATCTGGATATGTGTGCAACAAAAGTTAAACATTCACCTTCTGCTACCATTTCTGTCAAGCCATATATGCATACAATTTGATGCATACATTCGATAAATCCAACGTGCACCACACAGAACACACTGCAATTGCCTCTGTAACGCACTGCTGCAAGGCAAATGCAGCGTTCCATTAGAAATGAATGTACTTCTGATGTACCGAAATGTAAAACAATGTCGGTGTGATGGAGGCGTTAGCTTTTGTACAAGTGGCCTAAGGCAGTCGGTAAAAATGAACATTTCGTTTTCAAGTACAACTTTAGTAAGGATGGTTTTGGGAAACAGCTCGGAGATTTAACAATGCTCCTATGAAGGTTCTAAGATGAACTTAGCCTTAACATGCTTATGGGAAACTGGGCCCAGGGTAGTTCCCACGGATTGTTTGGGATAATTAATTCTGATAGTGGGGGATGTTGTTGGTTGTGTGTAGACAATGTGCTGTTGTTTTAGCATCTAAGGTAGGCTATAGACCAGGGTTCCCCAACTGGTGGCCCGCAGGCCGAATTTGGCTTGGTTTTATTTGACGACCCAAGTATTCTGAGCAAATGTATTTATGATTTTTACCATTTTCATTGTTGGACATAAAAGACTGTAAAAACAACAGGAAATCAGCTCCAAGTGATTTGAATTTTGCATATCTGTTCCCAAGTATTCCCATGCATAATGTGATTGTATACAAATGTAAGCAAGGTTTGATATGATTATGTCAAATATGATATCTGTTTGGGCTTTTTGCGGTCAATTTGCAGTCTACAAATTAATTAATTAATTGTAATTTTAAAAAATTATATTAAAAAAATCGGCTTGCAGCAGAATCTAGTTGATGATCCCTAATATAGACTCAGCTGTGAGTCTTTCTGCAGTTTTTGCAGTGTTTGGCTGTTTTGCCCGCCGTTAGGTTGCTAGTAATTAGGCTACTTTGGTTCATTTTTTCCACAAAAACTTTTTGAACTACAACAACTTTTGCCTTGAATTCCTGGACTGTAAATGTTTTTGTTTGCCTACAAGACTGTTAATAAAATCATCATTTTTGACCATGCTTCTCCATCTGCTGTTCAACTGTGTGCTCCAAAACCCAACTGACTACACTGCCATTTTTGTTGACAGGAAAGTTCATTACATGACAATGATTTAGAAAAATTATAAGTGAAAATACACACACAGATGCAAATATGTGTGCACACATTCTCATAACCACTTACAGACAAACAAAATTACAATAAAGAAGAAATGTCATGGATGTGATACAACAGAAGACCAAATAAATATGATTTATGAGCTTTTATTGTGAAAAATAAATAAACGGATTCACACATACACATACATCACAGTGTATACTGTATCTCCCAAAGTAACATTCAGACTTGTAATGATTGGAAGACTTATGGGGTTATAAATATTGAGTTACAATAGTCATAATGTTAAAGGTATATAAGGTATATACTGCACCATTATGTGGCTCTCTGATACGGTCATTTCAACATAACAAAAACAGATACACAACAGATAGGTTGATATTAAATACAGGATGAGAAAACACTCACACAAAAGAAAAAGGAAATAAATGTTCAGAAAACAAAGTGATTCACATGCAAACAGTTATGACTCAGGAAACTTGCCCACAAACCAAAAACTATAGTAACTAGAAATTATATTTTAAGAATAATCAAGGTCAAAAGAGCATAGCGTATTTGCAGCAATAATTCTTAATTTGAATGAAATTTGATGCTAGTGCAAAAATATTTCTATAGGCCATCTTCAGCTAGTTGATATGCATGGAATATTTAAAATAAACACTAAACAAACTGAAACCTTTGGCATTTTAGTTTTGTGCGCACATTGTATACAAGCTCTTGTACCATATCTGACTGGGGTTTTCATATGGCTCCATAGAGATATTACAATTCTTATTCATACTATTCTCTATAGTTGTATTGTTGCTTGGGCAAGAATAGCCGATTACATTTCTAATCTGAAGATTAGTACAACCTGTATGTAAATTTGGGTTGTACAGTATAGTGCGTTAAACCAACAAATAGCCAATCTTAGCTATGTATAATAAGGACTTATTATACAGAACAAAATAGTAATTGATCACTTATATGCCCACACAATCAAAAGTTTTGTATACAAAACGGACATAATCAACATACCAGTAGCTCCCTGTGTTGTATGTTCAGAAACACTTCTACACAATCTGCCAAGATGTTACTCAAGTTTTTTAAAAGTTTTTTATGTATTTTCTGTCTTTCTGAAACATGACTGTAATTATCAATCATGACGAGCTCCTAAAACACCAATAAAAAAGGGAAAAATCTCAAAACAATGGAGCACCGGGTTGTGCTTGTGCTAATGTTTACTGATGTTACTGTACTGCTGCTTTGAGCTGTGCTGATGTGACATCATCAACGTGCGACCAATGTGGCCGATAAGAGCCCATCACCACATATCTATGATTTCCCAACTTCAAACCCTAACCTTATACATTAGGATGAATTAATACTGACCCTGGACCATTGGTTAGGGTCAACATCTACTGTACCTACTGTAAAGATGGCAGTTGGTGATGGTTGTAAATGTCCAGCCCTGCTCTAACTAACAGAGGGCTGTCTGGGTGGTGAGTGAGGTGACCAGCAGGGTTAGTAGGATGGACGAGGGCGCGTAAGGTACAAGGGAGGTGGAGCTACTGTTGGAGTTAAGGAGGAAGAATGGGCTCCCTGAGCTGTCGTTGAAGTTTTTGTTGTTTCTGGGGTTGTAGTTTGGGTTGTAGTTTGAGTTTGAGCTGAAGTCCGAGTCGGACATGGTTTTGAGGGAGGGTGTACCTTCGCATCCTCGCTCGATCTGCCCGCTGCGGAACAGCGCGTCTTGGAGGAGATCTGGGAGGCGGCCGTTGAGGTCCACAGAGGCCAGGCAGCCCTGGAAGCCATCCCGGGACGCCACCAGCTTGGGCAGGCTATTGTACATACCAGGGCCCAGTCCAGCGATAAACAGGTCACCTGGAGGGAGGAGGAGAGAGGACACCGACATGTACTGACAGAGTCAAGCTTTATCACCAAGTATTTTATTTTACAGTCCTGGTAATGCTTTGTTTTACAGTCCTGTTTAAGCTGTTATTTGCAAATACATTATGTTTTTAAAGAGTGTTTTACGATAATTAATTCAACAAATTCTACATAATCAACCAGGGTGTATGTGTGCGACTCAAAACCACAATAGCCCATTGAGGTAAAGCCTAGGCATTAGCTCTGGGACATGGATATTCAGGTCTCAAGCAAGGTTAGTCATCCCACATGGTTCACTGAACCACCTCTGCTATATACTCTACCTTTCAGGTCGAGGTTTTTGGCTCCATTGACCACCTGGCTGGTTGCCTTGGCGTCCACCTTCAGCGTGTGGATGTTGCTGTTGTCACGGGTGATGACCACATTGTGCCACTGGTTGTCATGGAGAGCCCGGTCGCTGTTACCCTTGATGACGTTAGGCCCATTGCCAAGGTCAAACACGTAGTGGATGTACCTGAGGAGGTCAAAGGTCAGTCTGGTCATTGAATAGAACGCCTGTTTGACTGACAAACAGTAATTGTGCTGATGTTGCTTCCAGAGGCAGTTTGGAACTCGGTAGTGAGTGTTGCAACCGAGGACAGACTATTTTTACGCGCTACTCGCTTCAGCACTCGGCGGTCCCGTTCTGTGAGCTTGTGTGGCCTACCACTTCGCGGCTGAGACGTTGTTGCTCCTAGATGTTTCCACTTCACAATAACAGCACTTACAGTTGACCGGGGCAGCTCTAGCAGGGCAGAAATTTGACAAACTTACTTGATGGAAAGGTGCCATCCTATGACGGTGCCACGTTGAAAGTCACTGAGCTCTTCAGTACAGGCCATTCTACTGCCAATGTTTGTCTATGGAGATTGCATGGCTGTGTGCTCGATTCTATACATCTGTCAGCAACGGGTGTGGCTGAAATAGCCGAATCCACTAATTTGAAGGGGTGTCCACATACATATTTATTACAGTATATGTCACTTACTGTGACATATTGCATTTCTGCTACTGTAATACCATCCCTGTGTGTACCTACTGTCCTTCATAGTGGTGGTTGTAGTATCTGAACAGTTTATAGTTTTGGCTGACGTTTGCAAATGGTGTGTTAGATTAACTTTACTCTGCCTTGCTGAAACATCTGGAAAGCATCACTATAGGGCCCCCCTGAAACAGAGGAGACTTGGATATGTGGAAGCCAGGGATTGGTCTATTCAAAACACCCATCTTATGTTACATAGGATATGTACCAGGTTTTCAACAAAGGACGGGGAGAATAATCATATTTGAGATTGGGTTAGTTGTTCTCCAGATTCTGCAGAAATCTGTAAATTGACACTGAAATCTTTTGATATAATAAACCTTTATAATCAAAGTACAGTGTCAGCGGATTTCTTATCAACACAGCATATCAGCATCGTTGTTCGGCCACCACAGAAAATTGGCGACGAGGATTTTGGGACGAGTTGCGTCTGTTCAGCGTTTCATCATGGGCTCCGAAATGACTCCCGCTCAAGAGGCCGGCAGATAAGGTGAGCTTTCTCACAACTTTGGGCGCTGGTCAGTTCATGTGACTGTGTGTGCGTTGGGGGATGCACCGTTTAGAACTTGTGTGTGCGCCTTGCTGTTATTTGCTGTGGGATGAGAATCCGTTCTAAATTTCTAAAGTTGTTTGCGTTGAAAACAACGCAAACAGGGGGGAGTGAGAATATAATACAAGATAAAAGTGTCTATAGGAATTGATAACACTGGGCCCAGGGAAATTTGGCTTGAATAGAATTAAAGGGAAAAAGGACTAGAATGAAGAAATAAGGAACAAGGAACTAAGGAAAAAAGTATACTGTTAGGACGTCGCTGATCTACGGAAGCCCTCAAACGAGGCGATCATTAAGATGGGCCATAAATCCTGGAGAGTCACTAGGTGAATTTTCAGGTCAGTTCAAGGAACTGTGAGATTGTAGAATACACATTAAATTGTATGTTACCTCTCGGTATATAGTTGACGAGGTATATGTCCGAAGTAGCCTCTCATTGAATATCTGCAACTCAAGGTAGCAGAAATTTAGGAAGGAATATAAAGGAAATAGGAGCGATGGAAGCATGCGGTATGAATGGATGCATTCTTGTTGATTATGTGTGTGTGTGAGAGAAAGAGAGCGTGTGTTTGAGTAAATAAAGAGGTTTCTGCTGTGTTTCAGCTTGTCACGATCGTCTGAGGAAGCGGACCAATACGCAGCGCGTTGAGTGAACATGATGACTTTAATAGATAAAGCACGTAAATACAAAACAAAAGACGATAGTGAAGTCCAACAGTGACTATGACTGAAATGGAACAAAAACCCACAACACCCAAGAGAAAACACACAGTATAAATATGGCTCCCAATCAGAGATAACGAGCCGACAGCTGACACTCGTTACCTCCGATTGGGAGTCAATGACCAAACCTAGAAATAAACGTGACAGAAATGCAACCATAGAAAATCACCCAAAACCCAACAAAACACAATACACCCTGGCTCAAATACAAAAGTCCTGGAGCCAGAGTGTCACAGTACCCCCCCCTAAAGGTGCGAACTCCGGGCGCACCAGCATACAGTCTAGGGGAGGGTCTGGGTGGGCGTCTGTCCACGGTGGCGGTTCTGGCCCTGGTCGTGGTCCCCACCCCACCTTAGTCACTATCCGCTTCCGTAGCCTCCTCCACATGACCACCCCCCAACTAAACCCCACTGGATTAAGGGGCGGCACCGGACTAACGGGCAGCACCGGACTAAGGGGCAGCACCGGACTAAGGGGCAGTACCGGACTAAGGGGCAGCACCGGACTAAGGGGCAGCACCGGGCTAAGGGACAGCACCGGACTCAATGGCAGATCCTGGCTGGCTGGCTCTGGCGGGTCCTGGCTGGACGGCTCTGGCGGATCCTGGCTGGACGGCTCTGGCGGATCCTGGCTGGACGGCTCATGGCTGGCTGAAGGATCTGGCTGCTCATGGCTGGCTGACGGATCTGGCTGCTCATGGCTGGCTGACGGATCTGGCTGCTCATGGCTGGCCGACGGATCTGGCTGCTCATGGCTGGCCGACGGATCTGGCTGCTCATGGCTGGCCGACGGATCTGGCTGCTCATGGCTGGCTGACGGATCTGGCTGCTCATGGCTGGCCGACGGATCTGGCTGCTCATGGCTGGCTGACGGATCTGGCTGCTCATGGCTGGCTGACGGATCTGGCTGCTCATGGCTGGCTGACGGATCTGGCTGCTCATGGCTGGCGGAAGGCTCTGGCTGATCCTGTCTGGCGGAAGGCTCTGGCTGATCCTGTCTGGCGGAAGGCTCTGGCTGATCCTGTCTGGCGGAAGGCTCTAGCGGCTCCGGTCTGGCGGACGGCTCTGACGGCTCATGGCAGACGGGCGGCTTAAGCGCCTTAGGGCAGACGGGCAGTTCAGGCCCCGTTGGGCAGACGGCAGACTCTGGCCGTCTGAGGCGCACCGTAGGCCTGGTGCGTGGTGCCGGAACTGGAGGTACCGGGCTGAGGACACGCATCTCAGGGCTAGTGCGGGGAGAAGCAACAGGGCATGCTGGACCCTGGGGACGCACATAAGGCCTAGTGCGGAGAGCCGGAACAGGGCATGCTGGACCCTGGGGACGCACATAAGGCCTAGTGCGGAGAGCAGCAACAGGACGCACAGGACTCGGGGGACACACAGGAGGCTTGGTGCGTGGTGTAGGCACTGGTGGGAAAAGGCTGGAGACACGCACCATACAGCTAGTGCGTGGAGGAGACACAGGGCTCTGCAGACGTACAGGAAGCCTAGTGCGTGGTGTAGGCCCTGGTGGTACTGGGCTGGAGCGGGGAGGTGGCGCCGGAAATACCGGACCGTGCAGGCTTACTGGCTCCCTTGAGCACTGAGCCTGACCAACCTTACCTGGGTTGATGCTCCCCGTCGCCCGACCAGTACGGGGAGGTGGAATAACCCGCACCGGCCTATGTGGGCGAACCGGGAACACCATGCATAAGGCTGGTGCCATGTACGCCGGCCCGAGAAGACGCACTGGTAGCCGGATGCGTTGGGCCGGCTTCATGACATCTGGCTCAACGCTCACTCTAACCCGGCCGATACGTGGAGCTGGACTGTACCGAACCGGGCTATGCCTGCGTACAGGAGACACCATGCGCTCTACTGCGTAACACGGTGTCTGCCCGTACTCTCGCTCTCCACGGTAAGTCCAGGGAGTAGGCGCAGGTCTCCTACCTGACTTCGCCACACTCCCTTTTAGCCCCCCCCCAAGAAATTTTTGTTTGGGTAGTACCCACGGGCTTCCAGCCTCGACTCCGTGCTGCCTCCTCATACCACCTCCTCTCGGCTTTAGCTGCCTCCAGCTCTTCACGAGGGCGGCGATATTCTCCCGGTTGTGCCCAAGGACCCTTTCCATCCAGTATCTCCTCCCATGTCCATGAATCCTTGATAGGCGTCCATAAATCCTGTTGCCGCTTGACACGCTGCTTGGTCCTTTTAAGGTGGGTTTTTCTGTCACGATCGTCTGAGGAAGCGGACCAATACGCAGCGCGTTGAGTGAACATGATGACTTTAATAGATAAAGCACGTAAATACAAAACAAAAGACGATAGTGAAGTCCAACAGTGACTATGACTGAAACGGAACAAAAACCCACAACACCCAAGAGAAAACACACAGTATAAATATGGCTCCCAATCAGAGATAACGAGCCGACAGCTGACACTCGTTACCTCCGATTGGGAGTCAATGACCAAACCTAGAAATAAACGTGACAGAAATGCAACCATAGAAAATCAGCCAAAACCCAACAAAACACAATACACCCTGGCTCAAATACAAAAGTCCTGGAGCCAGAGTGTCACACAGCTGTGTGTCGACTCATGCTATGATAAGATTTATGTTAGAGATATATACATATATATGTTTTGGTTGAGAACAGGGGTTTTAGTTTTTGTAAGGAAATATGTTAATTACGGTTAAAACCTTATGAGTCTCCATTTGAGAGAACGTTTTAAACATTGTTAAAAAAAACTATGAGCCCCCGGGAGGACGTTATGATTGTATAGAGAGGATTTGTAATGGATAAGAAAATAACTATAAATCTGCAGATTAGAATAAGTGAAGACAGTAAAGTTAAGAGACTTCGAAGTAGGATTTGTGTTCTATGTTTTGTGTTGGTTTGTGCATTTTGTTCAGTGTTACTGTTTGTCTGTGTTGGAAAGAACGGAGGGACAGCTGGTCTGTCTGCTGTCTGACTTAGAGAAAAGTTACTGTGGGAGAGCTCCTCTCACCTTGACATCGCACTAGTAAATGAGCTGCGCATGCGTGGGATTTTATGAGTTTAGAGTTAAACAGAGCAAATATGCCACTCCCCTGCCAGCACTGAGCTGCTGGGAGACGCAGACTTAGGGCTGAAAAAGAAGGAGGGGGACTTTGAATACACACAAATAAAGTATTCTGTTTGTTAAGTGGCTGTTGCTTAATTATGAAAC